TCTCAAGTGCTATCAGTGATATTTCCATGTGTGGGCCTTGATTTTTCTCATATACCAATCTCATGAGAGGCAGAACAACATTCTACCGTATTGCATGTCACTGGATATCATGATCATGTTCCCATGTTGGCCAAAGGGAAAAAAAGGGTATTTGCAAGGGCTTGTAGACACAAAGAACCCAGAACAGGTCCCCAGGAAAGGGGAGTCAGATTTTGTAGCTGTCTTAGAGGTATGAAATATTTTATCACCAATACTAGTATGCAGATATTCTAGAATTTATTTGCTTACAAAATAAAAAGCAAAGACATATTATCATAATACCAAAAGAAATTCATCCATATTTGAGATTTGCTATAATTCAAGCAAAAGGAAGGAAATTCAGGGTCAGAGATCACTCCCTCCCTACTGTCTGTCACAACGGGTTACCATCCTTAATTTTACCCAACTATGTCATATTGGAGGCTTGATCCTTAACTTTGAAGTTTTTCTCTCTTATGGAATTAAGCCAGAACCACAAAATATTTGAAAACGCAGGGCTTGATGGAATTGAATGTAGTTTTTCTGTGTAAAAGTAAAACCAAACTGAAAGCATTTGCCCTTCCAAAAGGATGGTTTTAAAATTGTCTTTGACCCTTTTTCTTCATATTTATACTGGCTCTAGTTATTTGATTAAAACTGTAGGAAAGCTATTTTGAAAATATTATTTTTAAAAGACAAATAAGGAAACTTTGATTATTTTTTTTCAAATATATCCTCTCTTTTTTATAAATGCTTTCCAGATTTGGCTTGACATTATTACACATTTCGGGATTATCTGAAAGTTAACTCAAGTGATACTTTTCTTTGGCCCTGCTTTTTAGCATTTTGAGGTATCATTCTCAATTGATTTTAGTGTTCTCTTTAGGGATATTTGATATAAAATCACAGGCTTGAAGATCAAAAATACATATATATATATATACAAATGTACAAATATGTATACATACATATACTTATGCATACATGTGTATACATATGCATATGTAGCCCACAGAAATTAATCATAAAAATGCGATATGTGTTCAACCAGCCAAATACAATAAACACATCATTCATTACTTTAAAATTCTATTGACTTTAGTGATAGCTTTTCCTGAATAACAAATGTCAGCTCTAGTCACAGTAAAACTTCAGGAGTTCAACAAAATATTTTAATAGAACTATGCCTAAATTCAAGGAAACTTCACAGAGGGAGGTTGCAGTGGCTGATATGGATGGAGGAAGTTTTCATATCAATAAATATGGTGGCATCTGCCAGGTAAAATGTTGTAATAATCCTCTGGGTGCTACTTCCCTCCCACTAATGTGTTGGACAGTTTAGATTAACACCATATGCCTGTTCGTAGCATGGGTGGAAACCAATGTAAATAGAGAGAGAGAGAGATTCATTTCACAGCCCTGTTTTTCCTGCACTCCTGTCTCCAGGCTAAGGGCTGGTGGCATTTACAGAATAATGGAAGAGGGAGAAAACAACCCCAGGAATAGGTCAAAGCATGGGAGGGAGGAAGAAGCATAGGCTAGAAAAAGAGAAGGAAAGGAAGGGAATTAGTTATGGAGGAGCTCTTGTAGCTACTTTCTGATAGACTGAGGCTTTCAATCTCTTCTGTATCCTCTTCATGTCCTCTTCCCAACTTCTCAACTTGTCTTTGCTGTCACATAGGGATTGTGCTTCTAAGGCTGAGCCAGACTGCTCACCCACACCTCACCCTATCCACTGTGCTTCTCTAATGTGGGCTAGCAGCAGTCCATGGCAATGATTTATTATAAACTAGGTGCAATTGAAGTTCTCTTTTCCTTTGGGAAATACTTGTAAATAGAGATTGCTGTGTAGCATCTGTAGTTTCCAAGTACCCATATGCAGGATAAATTAGTCAAAAAATTATTCCCTGACTCTGCATTTACACTGTAGTCTTCTTGGCAGAAAAGATTGTTTACTTATTTGTAGCAGTATAGCAAGACCTTTCCCCTATTGTTTGCAAGCTTTAGCCAGCAGATGAGAAATAAAAGCAACTTCAAATTAATTCTTGCACCAAGCTCATTTATGGCTGAATTAAATTACAGCTTCAGAAATGAATGTCAGAATTAGATTGCACTGTGCTTCATTGGCACTGTTGATTCAAAATTTATGGTGTTAGGCCTGTTCATTTAGACACATGGACCTCTCCTTCACCAGACAAGCCACTGAGTCACACGGACACAAAGTGAGGTTCAGATGGAACTCTGGAAAATTGGCTCCAAACACTTTCTACAGATTGGTTTATTTAGATAAAGGGCAGTGGTGAATGCTCTGTTCTACCACAGACAAACATGTTTTTGTGAAACAAAATAAAACTAAATGCATAGTCTGTTTTCAGTGCGGACAGATGTATGAAGTCTCCTTACATTGTTTTTTAAGAAGAGCTCTGGGTTCGTCTGTTGTTTGTGAAAATGGTTCCATGTTTTTTCTTCATGGCTTTTGCATGTGAGAACCTAGGACTAGTACCAATAAGCTTTTCAGCCTTTCAGCCTTTAATGAAGACATATGTTCCTACCAGAGAAGAATACTGGAATAAATAGCACAAAAATAAGCAAAACATTTGCAGGTCATCACACTGGTTCTGTGTTTTAAAAAAAAATATAAGCCAGAAATATTCTGGTCAGATTCATTGCAACCCATCCCTGGTAAAGTAATGAAAAAATACTCATTCAATTAAAACTGCCAGAATTCAAACTAAATGTTATTCATAAAAAAATGGTTCAGCTAGCTGAATCCATGGTGAGACAGTGACAGATATAATAAAAATCAGCCATGCCATGACTTTTTTTTCCTCTCAGAGAATTCATAATGTGTTTTTAATTAGAGGGAATCCAGTTTTTAAAAATCACAGTATGTTTCTGCGTAATCAGTCTGCCACTGCCTGGTCCACTATTGGTAGCATGTTTTAAATATTAGGGGTGGGCCTGTGTCCCAGGGCCTCAAACCCCCAAGCCAGGGATAGTTTCAACTCCAACACTGCAGGTTTTCCTGGGGAAAAGGTACCCTCAAAATAAAAATAGTTCAGTACACTCTAAATGAGAAGGTCTAAATAATGGTCCAAAACACTACAACCACTGAAAGTTGTCAGGTTAAGAGCTGAAATGCATGGCTTATATGCAAAGAATTTTAATTTTTTTTTTTCCTCAAAACTGAAGGAAGGCAGGGATTCAATATTTTCTGTTAATCTTTTCTGAGATAAAAGTGACTTCTAAGAGTTTGGCTTCAGTTCTAAACTAGCAGTGAAGCAGACAAAAAGAAGTGAGAAGGGAAGTGCTTTCTAACAAAGCTACATAAAGCTGCCTTTGGAAAACTGTACAGTGACATAGTGAGGTACATTGTAAAGTTAAGTGATTGAGTCAACTTCTTGGCTGCAAGATTCCAATCTGAAGGCAACTTACCTTGTTTTGGTTTCTGTGTTCCTGAAGCCATCAGGACTGTTTCCTACAAAAATACATGGGGTAAGGGAGAAAACATGAACTGCACAGCCTCCTGCTCATGAAAGTTTCAGAGTATAGAGGCTTGTCTGACAACAGAAATAGCAGCTGCAAAATGATTTATATTCAAGTAATCAATATTTCAAGAAATGTTGAGATTTGCATCATAATACATAAAGTAATTTGGAATAGGTAAAAACAAATAAGGCTTGATTCTAAACTTTAATCTGTTTTCCCTTTTTTATTCTTCTTTACAGTTTAAACTCTTCTTGCTCCACAACTACATGTCTCCAATATCTATGTTTTCACAAGGGGAAGCATTAGACTTTAGACAGTTGTTGGACTCTGGGCTAGTGGTTCCCAAGCAAAGAAAATACCAAAGTCAAATCAGGGTTTATATCTCTTTGTTTAGAAAGTGCAGAATTAATGTTTCCAAGTGAGAATTTATATCCTACAGTCCTAAACAGTTACTGTGATCCCCCAAATAACGTCATTTTATTAAAGATGTATAGATATGTATACAAGTGCAAGAAAACTGTACTTAATAGATAACTTTAATATTTAAAGAACTAGATAATGTAACAGAGATCTTTTTCACAGGAGTGTTCCCATTTGCGTCAATGGAATAATTTGCTACAATAAGGGTTTAGAGGGTCAAGTCTCTATAACAACCCTCTGTGCTCCTTAGGTGTTACCCTCAGATAACATTATTCTCTAGCAGTAGAAAGAAAATGCTATGTTGACAGGTAACCTAACCTGTTTCCAAGCAGCCTGCCAAGTCCCTGACTGTTTGGGTGTGACATTTGACTGCAGTTGCTTTCACACTTTGATTTATTCTGCTGCTCTCTCACCATTGCCCTGTTTCCCCTGTGCAAAGTCCTGCAGACACATTAGCATGGAGACTGTCACACTGCTTGTCCACTTGTCACAGATGAGCTCTCAGCTGCTCAGCCAGCACCCTGAGACTGACCCCATCCAGGGTGGTGGCACTACATGGCACCTTCTGCATGGGAAACATGGCACTGGGATCCTCACTGCTGTAGCAGTTACTGCAGCAGGCAACACAAACTGCTAATTGTTACTGGGAAGATATATCCTTATTAAGACACCAAATGTTGAGCCTTCTGCAAATGTTTCAAAGTTATGCAAAATAACCTTCACCACGGTATAATATTGCTGCTATTATTATACTTCAGAAATTAATCAATTTAACATATTTCCCCTAACAAATGTTTAAAGGAAGACTGAGACCAGACTGCAGGAATTGGCATTTCCCAGTAGCCACAAGTTAACAGTGTCTTTTTTTGGCAATATTCTGTCTGTAAAACAGCAGTTTTACTATAAGAATTTATAACCTCTTTCTGATCAAAGTATTACAAAATCCTGATGTAGTTAGGGACTTTTGTCAGACAACACATATCAAGCTTTATTTTAGTTTTATTTTTTAATAGTTTAACTCGCAAATCAGAGAGGCATTTTCTTAAAACCAAAGAGAAACATCTCCCTATTTGCAATGAGCAGCACATGAAGAAGATAGGAAAGCTCATCAGCAACATCTGAAAAAACATATTTAGGGTCAGCATCACAGACTTTGGATCATTGGCTGTCTTTGCTAAAGAAAGGTTTCCCCAAGAACCTGTGCAGAGAATTAGATTTCTAGAAAAGGGTACCAAAGAGATTAGGTAAGAAATGAGATGTTAGTGGATGGAGCAGGGCTTTAGGCACCTCTGTATTTCTTCCCCAGGGTCTTCTCAGATGTGAACTTTTCAATGGAGTCACATGTCTGCTGCAATGGGAGAGGATTTCAGAATAATCAGCAGATTCTTCTCAGTCAGAGAATGATCTTCCTTACCAGCAGAGAACCCTGAGCACCCGGTGACTGTTAGTCCTGGACTGAGAGCCAGGCTCTCTTCCTGCCAGGGCATTTCGACATGGTCTGAGTAACAAAACAGACTCTGAACCAGACAAAGAAGCATTGCAAACCTATTTGGTAGTGGCTAAGGCATCTGGGAAAATGTGATTCAAATCCCTGTTCCAGAGTGGCAAGTGGCCACTTGCCACTTCTTTTTTGGATCACAAACACTGGGGAATTCCAGGGACTGGTAGAAGCACAAATATGTCTTGCTAAAAGTTGTTCTTGAACGAGGGCTTGAAGGTGTTGCAGCTTGTCCTTTCTAATCAGCCACTGGTCCACTCAAACCAGCTTATCTGTCGTCCAGGTTAGGGCAGGGACCAGCTGCTGTTCAGTGGCCCTTAGGACAAATTTGTAGTAAGACCAAGTCCCCATTGTCCCAAGGCATCTCGGTCCCACAATGTGATTGGCAGGTCCAAAACAAAGGGACAAACCATAGCTGAACGTTTTTCAGGGCCTGTGATCACAATAGGATGCAGGCTTTGTTTTGGTGCTGTAACTCCTGCCACTCCCCTCAGTGCTAGGACACAGTGCCCTGTGTCTAAGACACAGAAAATGAGAGAGAATTAAAGTAGTAAGGAGCCAACTCCAGCCACTCAGGAGCTTCAGACTCGAGGGGACACCTTGGTGGACTGAGGGCACCTAGAAGTTGAATAACTGATGGTCAGCTTTAAAGCCTGATCCAAAGGGACTATATAGGAAAAAAAGAAGGACAGAATTACCTGTGTAGATGTACTGTGAATCCTCAGCAGTGTCATGACATGAATGCTCATCTCTTGCAGGAGGAGCTGCTTCCCAGTAGTGCTGCTTCCCAGGGTGACTTAAAGGAAAAGGTTCATCAAGGAGGGGAAGCAACTAAGGTGAGTCTAGAGGAAGCTGACTTCATCACCTGCTAAATCCGTTCAGTCAACTCCCACCAACATGCCCATCAAGCTGTAAGATGAAAATGTATTATGTGTAGTAGTACTACAATATCAGCATGATATTTCAAACAGCTTCCAATTAGCATAAATGTAAGGTTATCACAGAAAACTGTTGCTGTAAATCTTCACAGTTTAGCATTTTAATGTTCCTCCTATTGCCTCCTATGAAAAATGTGATGCAGAACAGGGCCTACAGCTGGGAGAAGGTATCTCACCTGCTGTGCATGCACACTGAAACTGAGCTTCCACTGTCACCTCTCTGTGGTACACAAGAAGGAAATAAACCACCAGGAAATAGTAACACTGATTTTCAGAGGAAGAAATGCAGCATGAAGCCATGAAGTTTTGCTGGAATTGCATAAGCTGGATCTAGAGCTGTGTGAAGCTCACAACTTTAGTCTCCCTATGCTTCAGCAAATTCTGCCAAAGTAGGCTGGTTTGCTTTCCTTGATTTCTCACCAATGAATTTTAGATTTTTGTGTGCTGGAAAATCAGAGCTGGTGCTGAACCTAGGCAGATTTTGCCATGTCCTCCTTTCCCTTGCACATTATCAGCACATAGTCAATCTGCTGTCTCTGATAGTGGGAACAGTAGTACCATGTATGTTCAGAATCATCACATAAAATGTTTCAAGAGCAAACAAGGAAAAAGACCTAGTGCTGACTTAATATGACCTATTGCCACAGTCCTTCCAAGGTCACTTACCTGTGCCTAGAGAGAGAATACATGATTTTTTTTCCTGGTGAAGGACCTATGTGGCTGGTGGGATCGTGCAAACTGCAGATCCATGCCCCCCAGCCATGAGCTTTGCTTTGTAAATACATTGCTCTGATCTACCAAACAGCAGGCCATGGTTATTTTTTCAGTTTGGGTGGGATAGAATTGCCTGTACACAGAGCTGTGCCAGGGTAACAGAAGGTGCAATATTGTGTGCTTAGTTAAATTTTTGCATGGAAATTCATGTAATCATTTAAACCTGAGTTATGCTGGCTCACATTGGGCTGGATCAGGTGAAATTATCATCAATGCCAACTCACTCCATTGCACTGCTTTAACAGAGTTCTTTCAGATTAACTCCTTGCAGCTTCTATGTTTAGAGAATCTTTTCTCAGAAACTCCTAGTCTGGCTCTCTAAGCCAAAAATATGACTGGAGACTGTCACAAGTGAGACACAGTGGCTGGTGTAACACAGTGTTCTGACATGACTGTTAATTAGGTAGGTTCACCACGTCTCCTGGAACAACACCATTCCATGTTCAGTGATTAGCACAGCTATTGCCTGAAGTGCAGACTTCTGCTTTCCCAACATAGACTTTTGATCCACCCATTCTTCATGTCCCACACTCACGGCCCTATATGACCAAGAAGGTGCTTTTGGAAGAACATTCTGTCTCCCAGCAGCTTCCTATGCACAAGTACTGTGGTTACCAGCCTGTTACAGCAGTGCCAGTAACTAATGGCACTTCAAATCTTCATGCTACTTTTTGTCAAATGACTACATCATGCATTTGGCACATGCAAAAAGTACTGTTCAGTGAGAGATGTAACCACAGGAAAGAACATTTTTAAAAGAATGTTTATGTTTTGTAAAAATTAAAGAAAGTATATGACATTTTCCTGGATCTATAAAGAACAGGAAGTAGGATAAAGTATTGTGCCAATAACAATGGCAAAATCCTGTAGGAAAATGCACATGAAAGCTCAACTTTATCAAATCACTCATATTTCAAATTTTCTGGCTTAAGATGTATCATTTGTGCAAAAGAGAACAATTATTATTTCCCTCTTTTTCTGAAAATTAAAATCCAAAAGATGTTCACAGGTAAGTAAGTTTTCCTACATCTTTGCTATCGGAACTGAATCCATTGATTATATTAAACGCGATATCCTGGCCACTCTCCCACAGTGTAGAGAGCAATTCAAATAATCCTTCCTTGAACATTTAGCAGCTGGCAATTTCTGACTGCAGACTACCTGCCAAGAAGACACTGTGCATACAAACAAAATAGACAGCATTATACACCTACTTACATGTGCACACAGAACAGGTCATGTTTATCCCTACATTAATACCAGCATTCACAGTGAAGCATCTTCACTAGGAAATTGCTTTAGCAATAAATTTGCCTCTATTACTGACTTTGCAGAATATGTTTTTTGGAGAATGAGCAGTCACTTCCAGTATCTCTGTCTATTGTGAGTACAGCAATAAAAAGAATTGATCAGATGAGTACTGAAAATACAATTTAAACGTAGCACAAGTTTCTACCTTGACAATTCTACCAATATAGACAGGACACATGCATTCTGTCTGTCTGGTCATCCTTAGGATAGGGATCTCCTAGTGGCATTCTGGTGGGAGCAAGAAGTAATTACAATTGCACTTGTTCTACAGTGGTAGTTTGCTTATTACTCCTTTTTACCCCACACTGAGAACAGAGCTTGCAAGACCACAGCAAAGCAGTGCTGTAGCTCCACAGTAGGCATTAAAAGGCCCTGTAAGTATACAGGGAATTGTCATGTAGTGCAGTAAATACAAAACTGAAGCAGCTATAAGTTGAAAGGTGCCTAAGGAAGGAAAAAGAATTCAACATGGAGAAATGTAAAACTTAACCCTTGAGCTTAGCTAACTTTCTGAAATGATACCAAGTCTCTCCTTTGGTGGAAGGCCCCACTGATGGAGAGATCTTCCTGACGTGGCTTTGTGGTGAAGGCAGTCTAGTCCAGAGTCACATCTTACCAAATTATTTCTTAGTGTTCAGCCATGTTCTCAATTTACAGTTCTCAGGACCCTGGATCAAGGCTAAACTGTGGTGGAAAATGTGCTCCAGAAGTGGTGGTGGAAGTCATTGCACCTGAGTGTCTGACTACCCTGCTTACTGCTCCCAGACAGCCCAGGGTAAGTGTATTTGATTGTCAAGTTTTACTCTGCCCTTGGAAAAAGCAGCTTGCATGTGTGTACAGTGCTGCAGTTCCTGGTCTGGCACGGGTGTGAGGGGCTCTCCCCTGCCTGATCCATCCTCTGGCACGGCTGGTTACCCCAGGATCCAGCCAGCTCTGGGACTGTCGTTCTTTGACACAGAAATATTAACAAAGTCCTGGGTCTCCTTGGCACTTTCCCCACCACCTTGACATACACTAGCTAGGGAAGCTGTAATTTAGACATGGATTGGTACTTAAAACTGCAACAAATTGCTGTCAATAATAATTAAAAAATGAGTTAATTAAATGCATGGTATGAATGAGAAATAAGATCAGGGATGACACTTAGACCAGGAGGCCTTTTTCAGCCTGTGGAAAAAAATAGAACACAGTTATTTTTCCCACAGCCTGGAGAAGGCCTCATGTCCTAAATGTCATCTCTAATCTTGTTTTCTATTTCTAGTGTATATTACACTGCTCTGCCAGTGCTGCTATAGTTAAAGTGGTGTCAGTGTTTCCATTAGAAACCCCTATTTTCAGAGGTTTGTAACTCAACCATAAAAATTTTGCTCTGGGCTGAAACTTAGAAAACAAGTTCTAGAATTGAAACATATTTAAATTTTTTTTGTCCTACTATTAAAAAAAATAAATCACATTTTAAAGATAAAATTTTGCAACCCATTAGGCTATAAGAGAAATGCACAATGTGTAAAGTTTAAAATTGCTCTGAAAGTACTGTTAACAGCTTTTTGAGGTAATTCTAAGCATTTTATTCTTAATTTCAAATACAGATATACTACCGTGGCATTTTCTTTTTTAAAAATGAATAGCCATACAAATATGTCAAACCATTGGAGTTTTAAAACTGTGAGTAAATATTTATAGCACTGGGTCAATAATCTGCATTTTATAAAGGCTCCTAAGTACACATTTACATCATAAAATGTAGCAACACTGAATCACAGATAAACAAGTCAATAATGTGCTTTTAGAAAACTTCATAAATTTAGTTACACAGGCCAATAGTATGCAAGTTTAGAGCCTCTATTTAGCTGAGAAAACCTTATTTATGCAGAAATCTCAGATCAGGCTCATCCACCTTCCTTTCTTCATGTGCTGTTGTAATGAGAGTTGTGTATCTAGTTTGGGAAAGCCAGGAAAGATGAGATAGATGGTGGCTGAGGTTTGCAGAGCACACTAAAAGGCTGTGGAAGAGTTATTTAAAGTGAGACAAAGGGGTTCTGGCAAGGATTGTGGTATTATCATGGAATTATGACTACTGGAAAATAACAACTAGGAAATCCTGCCAGATGACTGAGGAGCTGACAAACACAGGAAAACCCCATGATTTGGAATATGAGAAACAATACTGAAGCAAATAATAGAAATATATATTGGACAGGGAAGTACCACTAAAAGTACAGCTTTAATCATTAAATGCACTTTGCACTTATTTTCTGTGCTGAAAGACATCACCATTTCCACAGACAAAAGACTTTGATTTTGCAATTGGATTTTCACCAGTAAATCCTATTGGAAAGTTTTCTGGAGGGGAATATCTGACTCAGAATGTACATATGAAGAGCAAGAGATTGCAGTAATTTTCTTCACTGAGATCTAAATAAAACCCATGAATGGTAATCACATTGGGATATTGCAAAATTAGCTCAAGGGGCAATCCAGAAGTGCTAATAAAATCAGATCATAAATTTCTCTTCATACCAAACTAGATGAAGACATCTTTGGTCTAGGGCATGTTTGTAACTATCTGTATATCCTATTCACTCCTAACACATAGAAAATTATACTACAATTTAATAACAAGGAAGACAACTATCAATACTCTTTTTCATAGTCTGGCTTGAATTTTGTTGTAAATACTAGTATTAGCCTTGCTTCAGGTATTGTCCCTAATTTATTTATTACAGATGACAATTTTCTAATAATGTTTCAGTTCAGTTCATACTTTTAGTTTTATAACTCCAATTTAAACATTACAAGGCATGATTTTATAATCCCTAGAATAAAGTCCATTAAAGTCACTAAATCACTTGAAACCTGGTTCAAATCCTGCTGAGGTAAAGGGCT